AACTTCTTTCCTTAATTTTATCAAATCAGTCAACTGCCGAAGGTAGTAGAATCTTAACCTACTATACTCCATTCAATTTTATATATAACATCTAGATAATTAAATTATATATATTAAAAAATTAGTTCAATTAATTATTTATGTTAAAAGCGTATAAGTTCTTATATGCACCTCTTTAATCATTACCTCATTGATGAAAATCTCACTATATATATGTAGTTAATAAAAATAATTTGAAAAAAATTGTAAATTTAGAAGATAAAATGAATTAACATTCTACATATAAGACTAAAGCAAACATCTCAACTAATTACCGTATTCGGGATTGAAGTAAACACTGTCACAGCGTGCTAAAGAAACTCTCTCGACACATGGCTATCCCCATATTCAGGATCGAAGTAAACGCTATCTTTTTGTTTCGTGCCGTTTACATAATTCTCTCAATACTAATAATCTATCCGCCCGAAATCAAGATGTAAGATTCCGCATGTTTAACCTTAATTAAAGGTCGTAAATTGTCACCAAAGCTTACCGGGATCTAAATTAAAGGGGATTTTACAATGTTTCGTGGTCAAATTTGAGCTTTCATTCTTTGGTTCTAGATAAACACAGTCAGCGTCATGACTCAAGGTATAATTGGCTAATAGATATTAATTTTTATATATTTTATCCCCTGGATTTTGATGATGATTTTCTGCTAAATTTGGTTTGGTAGACGTGACGTGAATTATTGATTGTTTCGGTGAAAAATAAATATAAATAATGGAAAATTTTGGGGTCAAATTGTAAATATTTTAACCTTGTCAATCTTCACGAGAAAAAAGAGAATTGCTTTTTGGAAAATTTGGGCTCGCAGTTCAGCCCAAATGAGCCTACAAAAAGGGCCTATTTGAGCCTGTTGTATTATCAAGTGACAAGTTTTATTATTGTTTTCGGAAGACGATGAGGAGTATTAGCTAGCAAACTTAAATTTAGCTTGGTGGAAAGAAGTATGTAATATTTGTTGTTTGTTCTTTTCTTGTTTTGTTACTTTGTTATTGATCTTGTTCCTGGTATTTGTTCCCTGAACTTGAGATGTTGGTAGATTTGTCATTTATCTATATTAGTGTTTGAAGATTTGCAATTTGACATTTGTACGGAAAGAGTAGATCTTTGAAATAATTTGAACTTAAAACTAGTATTTTATACTATTAATATGTTTCTATTTATAAATCATTTGTATCTTGAACTCGCAAATCAAGAAATCTATTGAATTAATATTTTTTACATTTGTTTTTATTAAAAAAGAGTATTAAAATATATTTTATTTTCTCTCCCATATTTACTTTATTTCTCCGTGCATTTATTTAAGTTAACATACGTAAAATTGGAAAAAGCTAATTTATTATCATACAAATGACTTATATTTTGAAACAAATTTTTTCCCCCCACTGACTTATAAATAGAAACAGAGTGGTATAAGACAAAGTAAAAAAAAAAAAAGGCCTGCAATTTAAAGATGTACTATCTCTAATCCTAAATATAGGATCTAGTTTCTAGTGTAAATTATATAACAAACTAAATCTTATATTTGGAACAGGAAGTGATAGCTTCTATTTGGAAATAAACTTAATGCATATGGCATTACCTTCAATTCAAAGTATAAATTATCTTTTAAAAATCCTAACATCTGAATACACCTAATTATTAATGTTATAAAAATAATATTTGATTAATCGGTTCAATTGAGTAAATCGAAAAATAACTTTTGTTTGATTCAAACTCTCTCACAATTGAACACTGGCAAGAGGCGATTTTCAATTTATACATGCATGGTATCGTGGAGCCAACAAACCAATGACACCTAATTCAATTTTTTTTTTTGACCTGGACTTAATTCAATTATTAGCACTATAATAATCGCCTACTCTATGGTGGGCCCTAGTATCACACGAGGCTCTAATCACGAACCAAGAAAACCGGAGGGTCCGAGGATCACATGGGGCTTTAGTGAACAGCTAAGAAACCCGGACAGTATGGGTGTTAAATTAAACCAATTGGCATTAGCTTTCAAGACAAATAGGGCCCACCAGTTGAGTCAATGCTTCGCCGCATCAGCTTCACATGAACCAAATCAGTGCTTTGCCACGTTCAATCACTTTGTCCGTTTCTGATAATATTAGTAATTGGGGAGAATTATAATGAAAAAAATAATTAGAAAGCAAGTTTTAAAAGTTGTCATTTCTGAAATTTGTCATTACAGACTATTTAGATTATTATTAAAACTTTTTAATAATCATTTTTTTAAAAACCTCATTATAATTCTTCCTCGCAAGTATAACTTAAGTTTAAGAGCTAGCATTTTGCTAACAGTTTATACTTGGACTGGCACCCAGGCGATGGGTTGTGGGCTAGTATACCCCATGTGGCTAAGCAAGGGTGAGCGTGTGTAATGGTTATGTGGGTCTCCCATTCCTTATGACGGGGAGGAGGTTTAAATTGTTTACATGGTGATCTTATTTTTCAGGTGTACCATGATCTATTAAATTTGATGTAATTTTATTAATGATTTATTAAATTTGATGCAATCTCACTCATATTTCAATTTATTATGTAATTATAATTTGGTTACCTAAAATTGTTAATTTTAAATGAATAAAAGAAAAAAGGTGATTTTAAATAAATAATGTTATAGTATATTTTTAGTCTTTTAGCTTTGTAGAAAGTTTTAATTTAGGGTCCCTTTGGATTGACGGTAAAAAAGTAACTTATTTTCAATTTAACTTTTAGAAACGTAGATTAGGTAAAAGTTAGATTGGGTAATATGATTTATATTTGGATTAACTTTTATAAAAGTTAGTTTGTAAAGTAGAAAAGTTATTTGGATTATAGTTGGATAAGTAAGTTTAGTTTGTAGAATGAGGAAAATAGATATGAATTTTATTAAATAATGAAAAGCAATTAAAAATATGAATTTACAAAATATAATGATTTTAAATTACTATAATTGGAAGAAGTTATATTTAATGAATAAAAATATATTTAAATTAGAAATCACAGTAATGTGAAAATTTTTGAAGCAAATAATATTAATATAATTAATTGGATGATATACTCTGCATAATTTATATAAATATAAAATGAAAGATAATATTAAAAAGTAAAAATATTATAAAAGTTATGTTAAAAATTATTTCTACTTAAGAGAGTATCAAACATAAATAACTAAAAAATGATTGGAAAATACAAGGAATATGCAAATAGAAGCACAAGAACAATATAAATATAAGGGCAAAAATGTCTTTTAATTTTTAAAAATTACTTGTGTATAAGTTATAAGTAAGTTTTAGATGTTTTTGTAATTATGCTTAAAAAAGTAGCTTTTGCCCCATAAGTTAGATTGGTTAAAAGTTGTGACAAACAGCTTTCAAATTTGCAAACTAACTTATTAAATTTTTAAATTACTTTTGGCCCTCAAAACGCTGCAACAAACATGCATTTATTCTCTTAACTTTAACAAGTATATTTTTAGTTCTTTAACCTTAAAAATATTAATAAAAAATGATGATATTAACATCTTATATGTTAATAATACATCTCACATATTAACATGTTAAGTTTAATTTTCAAAACAACCACGATTGTTACAAAAAAAAAAAACATAATTTGAGACCGACAATTTTAGGGTTAAAAGATTAAAAATATACTTTATAAGGTTAATAAACTAAATTAAAACCTTTTATAAAATTAAAGAACTAAATGTATACTTTAGCTAATAAATAAATTAAAGAAAGGGAGATTGTACCAAATTTAAAACATAATGGACAAAATTATACCACTAAAAAATTAAAGTACTGTGTATTATTTTACCTTTTAAACATTTAAAAACTACAAATATGAAAAACACTCATTATAAGATATTTTCAAAGTCTAAAAGATTAAATCGTTAACGTAAGGGACAATTTTTCATAAAACAATGATAAGAAAGGGGAAAAAAAATAAGAAAAGAAAATTTAGATGAACGATAAAAGGAATTTATATAAATTTTGTGATATGTATTATTATGTAACTATAACTATAACTATTATAATAATAATAATAATAATAATAATAATAATAATAATAATAATAATAATAATAATAATAATAATAATAATAATAATAATAATAATAATAATAATAATATATCACGTGCTTCTAAAGTTTCAAAATTACTTTTAAAAATATAACTTCCATTCTATTCTTTTTGTCATTTGTAATTTATAAAACAACTACTTTCGCATGATATTGTTATACTTTTCCTTTCATTCCAAGAAAATACGACAGGCACCTTTTTTTTGGGGCCAACGAACAACTACAGATACCGAAAACCATGTGTCTCTCAAGTTGGCAACAAATATCTTAAATATCATCCATCTATACTAATCATATTGTTAATATATATACATATATATCGTTCAAAAGAAATAATAAAATACTAGAGAGAAATGGAAATCAATAAAATACTATCATAATTAATACTAGATAGAAGCCGAGAAGAAAACGATGCGGACGTGCATAGTGATATAAATAAGGGATAATATAATTTTTGGTTACTTAAGTTTTTTCTCATTTTGATTTTAGCTCCTTAAATTTCAAATCATAGGCTTTGCTTTCTTAAGAAGTAAAATAATCCAAATTTTTATTAAATTATAGAGTCAATGTTTTAAATGAAAAGAAATTTGAGGAAGTATAACATATGATTTAAAATGTGAAAGATCAAAATCAAAATAAGGGCAAACTCAAGACCAAAAATTGTATTAGTCCAAATTTAGGAACTATATTGTTCATTATTATCTTAATTAATCTCTTTGCTGCGGTATCCTATTCCATCAGATCTTTATATTAAGTACTGATAAGAAGAATTGCCATGAGCAAATATAAATCAGAAGCAACAGGGTAAGGAGAGAGAGAAGCATCAAGAAAATGAGTGTCGAGGTTGAAGTAATCTCTGAAGAAATGGTGAGACCATCGTCTCCTACACCTCAACATCTTCGTCATTATCATCTATCCTTCCTCGACCAGCTTAGTCTGCAAATCAACAATTCTATGGTCTATTTCTTCAAATCCGATGACGTCGCAAACAAATTTAACATCAACCAAGCTTCCAATCTTCTCAAGAAATCGTTGTCCCAAGTCTTGAGTCACTACTACCCACTCGCCGGAAGACTCATAACCACCAACTTAGTCGTGGATTGCAACGATGAGGGTGTCCCTTACGTAGAAACCAGAGTCAGGTGCCACCTCAGCACCGTCGTCGACAATCCATCTCCGGCCGACGTCAGGAAACTGCTTCCCTACGACATGGATGAAATCGTCGACACCGTCCTAGGTGTCCAATTCAATGTCTTCGATTGCGGCGGAATAGCCGTCGGAGTATGCCTCTCCCACAAGATCGCCGACGCGCTGTCGTATTTCCAGTTCATAAAGAGCTGGGCCGCCATGGCACGGGGCGAAGCAGAAAAAATCAGAACCCACTTCCAATCTTCCTCACTCTTCCCGCCAAAACATGTCGGGATACGACCCGAATTCTTTCATCGGTATGCACAAAGTCGTGGGAAAGCGGTTCGTATTTGAAGCATCGGTAATAGAATCTCTGAGAACAGAATATTCCGGAAAAGTCATAGAAGGCCAAAAACCTCCTTCAAGAGTAGAAGTATTATCAACTTTCATACTGAACCGGTATATTGCAGCCACTAAAGAAGAAGGGGACAAAAAGATTCACTTGAGATTCGCAGTGAATCTACGCCCAAGAATGGAACCTCCATTGCCAGAATTTGCATTCGGGAATTATTACTTGTCTCTCGAAGCCTTTCCAACTTTAAACGAGAAAGGAGATTGTAACGACCTCGGAAGGCAGCTAAGAGAAGAACTAAACAAAGTGGACAATGATTTTATTGTGAAGCTTCGAGAAAGCAGAGAATGGAACCCTAATGGAGAAGAGACGACCGATAGCGCTATTGATGAGGAAAATGAGATGGTGGTGTTTTTGTTCACTTCACTGTGTAGGTTTCCGGTGTACGAGGTTGATTTTGGATGGGGGAATCCCACATGGGCAGGACCACCCACCTGGAAATTCAAGAATTTCGTTACTTTTAAAGACACAAGATCCGGTGGTGGCATTGAAGCCTATGTTAACTTCACAGAGGATGATATGGGCAAATTTGAACTTGACCAAGAGCTTCTTGCCCATGTTTCTACCACTATGGGGTTGACCTAATTTTACACCAATAATTTTATATGGGTCTTTATTATTATCATCATTTCATCATCGTTCTCGCATAGTTTTCTTGTATTATTGTCCATCGTCGTCTGTCACTGACAGCTTGTCTAGATCTGTCCATCGACTGAAAGTTGTGGGGTTGTTGAATAATTATTAAATAAATAAAAAGGGAAAGTTCTCATCTTTTAATTAATGGCGCAAATTGCAAGTTGCAACTTGTTGATTAGCTTACAAGTCAGATTTGACGGCAGAGCTTGCGTAGTTATCTTAGTAAGGACGTTGTATAATTAAGGAGGAAGATCTGAAGTATGAAAATCTCCAAACTGTCTTTGAAAATGTCTTAATTTCTATGAAATGGACTATTTTGAAATGAAATTTTTGTAAAGTAATAAGAATTGCACTTCACCTGTAGCAAGTAAGGGCTTTTAGATCGTTTCATAAAAATTCTTAAAGAGTTAGATAATTAATTTAGTTATTTATAACAAATTGTCTAATTTTTCCAAAATTAGTTTCTTTAATCGTGTGCATGGAAGTTATGCCTTGATTAGGAACGCTCTTAATATATGTGATCAATGTGGATATTTTGAAAAAAATTATAAATAAAAAAGGTAAAATGAATTGATATCTTACATGTAGGATCAAAGTGAACATTTTGTCTAGCTCTTATATTAACATCTGATGGACATTTCGTGGGATCATTTTTCAAATCCTCATATTTCAGCTCTTATGTGTCTTTCTCCCGTTGTTATTTAGCTAAATGGATAAACTTATTTGCTAGTTGCGTGCTCCGTACGATAAAGTAGTGAAGAAAATTGGACACTTTAAAATCATCTAATCCATTTTTTTGACTTGATAATGAGTCGGTAACAATAAAAAAAAGTGTTAAAAATAATATCCTTGAAAATTTCATTTGTTTTTCCTCATTCACCCTCCTTTGCCAATATGCCACCGGTTATTTTTTTAACATACACCATTAATAGATCCTATTCAAATTAACCGATCAAGATCATAACCACTACGGATTGCATATGCATGAGTTATTTTTTCATTTTCTCAAATTTAACTAAGGTTGGTTTAATATACATACAAGTTTTGGCAATATAGAAAACAATTTTAGTAAAACGTACTAGATTTTAGGGAAATAAAGAGAAAAGTAAAGTACATCCAACTGTCTTTAGACCTCTCAGCAACCCAAAAAAAAAAGGAGCCAGAACTACATTGTCATTTTGCCTAGAAACCTCTAGTAATTTTTTCAGAGAACGTGTTGCGGAAAACCAAAGAAAAAAGTTCGATCGTTTCATAGTTAATGAATTTAGATAAGACTGTGTATTAGGAAAATTTAACTAACACCCATCAAGTGACTTATAATAAAAGCTATCCATATCTTTTAAAGGTGTCCTTATGATAAAGATACAAGAGAGTATCTCCTATGCACATTCGCATATAGATAGATGATTAGGTATCGAAAATATGCATAAATGTAAAAAAAAAAAGTATATATATAATTTTAGGAAAATGTGTTAATTAAATAGCATTATTTTCTATAGCGTAACACCTGGAGAATGACACAAATACCCCAAAAAGAAAATTAGGAATTAATGATCATTATAACATGTGAAAAGGCTCTTTGTGAAGTCAATAAAATGATGTTAAGATGCGCGTAAGGTATAAAGCCAAATTGATCTAATTCTTACCTACCAAACATTTTTATCTACATACTCCTCCGGTCCTAATTATAAGACCCAATTGACTTATTCGAGGAGATTAAGGAAGTAAGTTAAGTTGGTTATTTATAATAAATAAGTGTTGTCATTCCTAAAATATCCTTGCTAATTAAGTATATTGGCTAAAACTATCATTATTAGAAGGATTATCTTGAAAAAAAATGCATAAATATAATAGACAAAATAGATTGGGGTCTTATAATTAGGACCAAATAAAAAGTCAAATGGGGTCTTATAATAAGGACCGGAGGAGTATATAACATCATTCAAGAACATATAACGCACATTTTGGGAGAAAAGCAGGATTAATTTAGAAGCCTAGCCGCATCCGTTTACCATTGAGGCAGAGGCTGACAGTTAATCTTCAATTGTTATATGTTTAGTATCGTATACTCCTTCTCATAATCTTTTCCATGAGATTCAAATTTTTTAAATTATTATCCGGTGAATCTAGCTAGTTTTAAACTGTTTGAGTATTAAATGTATTTTTGCTTGTTTTACTCTTAGTTATATCATCTTTTGTCCGCATATTCTTTTTCATTTTCTCTCTTACCTATCCTCTTGTAAATAAGGGCATTATATTTTGAAAAAAAAAAGCATTCCTTATATATTTATTACTTTTAACTAATATTAACTGATTTTTTAAACCATGTACTTCGGTTAATTGGATCTTATAAAAAAGAGCGGAGGTAATATTAATCAAAATAGATGACAAGCGCACTCAAACAAAATCAAAACAAAATACTCCTCTGGTCCTTTAAATATGACTTAACTGTTGAGTTAATTTTAGTTCTAAATATAAGATTTATTTTTCATATTTAATTTATTGATTTTTCCTAAATTATCTCTATGGATACTCGTTTAATCATAATCAAGTAAGAGTGGCGGGAGGATATTAAGAAAGATAATTATGGTATTTTAGAAAAAACATGTTATATTTTTTATAATTAACTAACTTACCTAACTTTCTTATTCTAATCAAATTAGTTGAATAGATTTTATATTAAGGACCAAAAGAGTATTAATTATAAACCTTAAAAGAAATCATAAAATAGAACAGCACTTAGTAATGATGTGCAAAACGTATCAGTAAGGTGTGTTCTTCGTTTTTTTTTTTTTGGCCCAGAAAAAGGAAATATATTCATTACTTAATCAATCAGATTGTCTGAGTGATGGGCGCGAGATGATGGTCGATGAAGATAGAGAGTGATGGAAATGATGATGATCTCGCGATGATTGTGAATGAAGAGACTGACAGAGGACTGAGAGAATTAGGGTTAATGAGGATGTTTGGTTGGTGGGACACGATGGGATGAAAGGAGTCCACCGAATGCTCATCTCTTAAAAACATCACCGTTTAGGAAATTACCAGCATTGGCTCAACAAGAAAAAAAAAATACAACTGATATTTGTTTTTCAAAATCATTTTTAAATATGGAATAACTTGGCCAAAATAAATTTTAGAGTTAAAGTTATATTTAGCACCCTAAATTATGCTTTCTACTAGTGGTACTTAGTCTCCTAGAATAATTTTTATTCCATAATATTTTTTAAGCAGCACCCAATATCCTCAGTAATTTTTGATGTATCTAACACAATAAAGATTTTTTTTTAAATAGCACTCAGTATCTTAGATTTAGAGTGTTTATTCTTACAAAGACAATATTTTAAGAGCAAACTTTACGATACTGACGTCAAATTTATAAATTTTTTGTGTAATCTTGCTCCTCAAATATTTTCTCAGTGGTAATTTTTAAGTAGCATTTGGCATCTTAAATATAGGGTGCTTATTGCTACTAAGTAAATATTTGATGAGCAAAATCACGCAAAAAGTAATAAATTTCAAGTTAGTCTGGTAAATTTTGCTCTTAAAGTACTTTCTCAGTAATAATGAGTATTCTGAATTTAAGATACTCAGTGCGATTTAAAAACATCGTGGGATACATAAAAAAAATTATTGAGGATATTGAATGATACTGGAAATTTTTTTTGAGATTTTGGATGGAACAAAAGTTAATTTAGGAGACTAAGTACTACTAGTAAAAAGTATACTATAGAGTGATGAATACAACTTAACTCAAAAATTTATTGAGTTTAGACTAAGTTATTACATATTTAAAAATGATTTTGAAACACAAATATTACTGGTCCTTTTTTCCTGTTGAGCAAATGCCGATAATTTTGCTAGATTGTGACATTCTTAGAGATGAGCCCAGAGATTTGCTTGAGCACCAAATGCAGACTCAGAGGAAAGGAAATGGATTTCTCAACTGTAAGGAATGGGAAAGTTAAGTACACAGCTAAATGAAATTAATGGAATTTGAAACAACGTCGAAAATCGATTAATCACTACAAACATAAAGCAAGTGGCCATGACCAATTGATGTTAGTTGCAGCCTCGATTGTCACTTGCAAAATGAAAGAAACCAAATGACGACAACTAATCAAGAGAATTAAAATGAAAAATTTTCACCAAATTTCATTCATTCCCCTGTCCGAACAAAAACGTTTCAGTTAATGTACCAACAAGCTATTGGTTGATATGACAGTAGTCTGGCATTTCTGGCATTGAAAGGAAGAAAACACAAGTTCAAATTCTAAAAAGTGTACTCGGTCTGACAAAGATTAATCTCAAATCTAAAATGATTTGGGATACTCTGAATTTATAAACAAAAAAAAGTTTCATTTGTATCATTTTGAGCATAAGCAACCAAAAATTAATATTAAGAATTACCATTATTATTTAAAAAACTATTACGAACTTTTACATGTATATATTTATATCAATAAAAATTGAAATTTCGCAAAACTCAAATAATACAAATATCAAGGAAATTCAGTCACAACCAAGGTAGCCATTGTTGAAAATGCAATAACTTTATGATGCTGAGTGGTCGAGAGACCGACGGAAGCAAACAATATAGAAGTCAACACGTTAAGCCCAGTCCGATTCACACATATCAAAGCTCACACTGTCAACTCGATATGTTTTTCTTATTGGGTTTAAGCTCTTCGTTTATATATAATTATCATATGCTATTGTTTTGTTTTTGCTTGGACAACAAATTAATCCCAGAATAGGGACACAATATAACCTATCTATCCGTGTATAGAAAGCAGAGCAGATCAATCTTTACTTTCAAAAACAAAATCTTACCTATCAAACTCTATCTTTGGCCGGCCAGTCCACCAAGGAAAGCGTTGAAATGTCAAAGATAATGGCACATTTAATAAGAGATTGACAGAGACCAACCACCTATCGTCTCCTCAACTTGGAAACAAATATCTCATCTCATCTCTACATGCATTAATTGTTAATTGACAGCTACCTAAATCATCCATCTAGCTACATTACTTGTGCACGCAAGTCACTCTTCACGAACCAGTTCCGATAACCATAATCTAGATGAGCACTCTAAACTCATCATATCAGATCTAAATCATCTATAATTGATTTAAACGGTTTAGATTTAAAATTTTAATTAATTATTTTTAAATAAAAAACTATTTTTTTTTAAAAAATAGTTAAGAGATTATCTCTATTTTAAATTTTATAATATTAAAATAATTATTTTAAACAAATAAAAAAAAATAAATCTGATCTATCTAAATAAAATATGAAGGATTTAAATCAGATAAGTCTAAGGTGCTCATGAAAGTTTCTGGTCAAAACAAAAAAAAGGTGCTCATGAAAGACAAGTCAAAACTCTTGACATTAATTGTGCACTACCCACCGTCTCTTTCCCTCCCTATATATGTGTAGCATTAATACTGGTGAATAATACGAAGAAGCTACGAGTTGTGCATGTGAGAGCAATATCCTAAAGCAAACGGTACGGATCAGAACAGCACCGAGAAATATGGGTGTTGAAGTTGTTGAAGTAATGTGTACAGAAATGGTGAAACCATCGTCTCCTACACCTCAACATCTTCGTCATTACCATCTCTCCTTCCTCGACCAGCTCAGTATGCAAATCAACAATTCTATGGTCTATTTCTTCAATGCCGATGATGTCGCAAACAAATTTAAGATCAATGAAGCTTCCCATGTTCTCAAGAAATCGTTGTCTCAAGTCTTAACTCATTTCTACCCGCTCGCCGGAAGACTCATAACCGACAAGTTACTCGTAGATTGCAACGATGAGGGTGTCCCTTATGCAGAAACCAGAGTAAGGTGCCGCCTCAGCGACGTCATCGACAACCCCTCTCCGGCCGACGTCAACAAGCTGCTTCCCTACGACATGGATGAAATCGTCGACACCGTCCTAGGCGTCCAATTCAACGTCTTCGATTGCGGCGGAATAGCCGTCGGAGTATGCGTCTCCCACAAGGTCGGCGATGCGCTATCTTTCTTCCAGTTCATCAACGCCTGGGCTGCCATGACACGTGGCGAACCAGAACCAATCAAAACCCACTTGCAATCTTTCTCACTCTTCCCGCCAAAAGACATGTCGGGATCCGACCCGAATTCAGCCATCGGGAAGCACAAAATCGTGGGAAAGAGGTTCGTATTTGAAGCATCCGTAATAGAATCTCTAAGAACAGAATATTCCAGGATGGTCAAAGAAAGCCAGAAACCTCCTTCAAGAATAGAAGCGTTATCAACTTTCATATTCAACCGGATCATTGCTGCCACAAAAGAAAACGAAGAAGTGAACAAAAAGAATCACTTAGTAACATTCGTAATGAACATACGCCCAAGAATGGAGCCTCCGTTGCCAGAATTTGCGTTCGGCAACTATTACTTGTATAGTGAAGCTTTCCCAACGTTAAACGAGAAAGGAGAGTGTAACGACCTAGGAAGACATCTAAGAGAAGAGCTAAACAAAGTAGACAAGGATTTTATTATGAAACTTCGAGAACGTGAAGGATTGAGCACTTTGCCACAGATAGAAGAGATTGATAAAGCAGTCGAGAAGGGTGAGATAGTGCGGTTTCATTTTACATCAATTTGTAGGTTTCCAGTTTACGAGGTTGATTTTGGATGGGGCAATCCGACATGGGCAGGACCACCAACGTGGAAATTCAAGAATGTTATTATTTTCAAAGACACCAAGTCAGGTGGTGGCATTGAAGCGTATGTGAACTTGACAGAGGAAGACATGGCTAAATTTGAACGTGACGAGGAGTTTCTTGCTCATGTTTCAACAAAAGGGTTGAAATAATTTTATATTTATTACATATATATGTGTGTGTGTGTTTATTGTTACTAGTATCATTTATCATTCATGTGTCGTTTTCCCGTCAACTGACCTACGTGGTCTGTCACTGACAGCTTATCTGTCAACTGACTTATAAGTTATGGGTTTTTTGATGAGTGATTATTAATTGAATAATGAAAAAGGTGAAGTTTTCTCTTTTTCGGTGGAAGTGTTTAAAATGTTTTCTCCCCTTCAATTAATGGTGCAACTTGTTGCTGATTAGCTAGCTAACTAGTCAGATGTGACGGCACGGCTCGTGTTATTATCGTATAGCAAAGACGCTCTATTATTAAGCTACATGGATAAAATTATATTGACCAAACACAAGCTCCTATGTGCCATAAATTAGTAAATTACTGAAGAAAATTGGACATTTTAGAGCTTATTCAACTTCTCATTTGCTAGAGCTCTCATCCTTTGTTTTTTGATGCATCTTTGATTATAATAGGTAAAGGATTAGTAAAATAATATCCTTGAAAATTTCATTTGTTTTCCCTCCTTCACCCTTTTTTAGTACGCACAAAAATTTCATTTTATATTAATTTTGATTCCATTTAATTAAAAGTGGTTCAAAATATATAAACATGCCACTCATCGTCAATCACAAAACTATAAATATATACTACCTCCTGTCATTAAAACTAATAATTTGGATAGATTAAAACATTATTTAAATTAATTACTGTATTTGTCAAAAAATGTGCTGGTTTTTCTAAGATACTACCTTAAATCATGTGCATTAAAGCTATATTTTGACACAAATTTGCTTAACATATGCAATCAATTGGGATTGTTTGGAAAAAAAATGACAAGTATAAGGAACAAACTAGAAGTTTTATTTAGGACTAAATTTAACTTCTAACTAATTTTTATATTAGAAACTAGAGATAGTATTAAACTATTATAGCCATAACATAAGAATCATTAGAGAGAAACCCTAGCATAACATACTTCAAAGGACAGCTTCTGGTTGGTAGTAGAATATTGGAAATGATGGATGGTAGCGAACTACGTAGCCCTAGATTCGTTTTGGGATCAAAACTCATAGCATCACTTCTAATTTTCATAGTTTGTCAAGCCAAAGGAACATTGGGTGCAATAACGAACACTTAATCGTAACGGTTATAATGCTTTCTTTTTAGGAGTGCGAACTTGGACCTTCAATCTCTCTTCCTTCTTCTATTCAATTTCATGTTGTCTTTTGTTGGCCAAAAGAAGAAAAAAGAAGAAGTTCCATGTTGTTCTTGCTTTTAAAACTCCTTCCCAGCTTTCAATGAAGTTGCTTCAGATACCAAAAATCATATAAAACTTTGGGAAAATGTGTTAAAAGAGTATTTATTTCTATAAGTGGAAAATGACACAAATATCCCAAAAAGAAAATTCACGTGTGAAAAGGCTATGTCTGAAGTCAATAAATTAAACTGATGTTAAGACGTAACATATACGCCAAATTGACCTAATTCTCAACCTACCAAAACTTTTTATCTACCAAACACTATCCAATTAATCACAACCCACCTTTTGGGCGTGAAATAGGATTAATTTGGAAGTGCATCGGTATATCTTTGAAACAGAGGTTGAAAATCTTGAATTATTGTATGCTTTATGTCGTCCTCAAAATAAAAGTTAGATAACTAATTTGTGTTTAGGTCAGGGGGAAGAGGTGACAAGGAGCTAGAAGGGATGAAGGAAAATACACTCACCAACAACAATCGGAGAGTATTACCTTTGTCATACAAAGAGAAACTACTTTCTTTGGGCTGTGGGGGTTATTTAGTTAAGCATGATCGATGAACATGAAGATATTGTGAACGGGTGGAGATCCTTCTTCACCAAGAAGAACCAGAACATGGATCCTAACAATGATGGAGACATAGATTTAGTAGATAGTGTGGAGACTGAAGGCACAACCATCAAACCAAGGTACCCGGTGCTGAAGGTGACAACCAAACAGTATACTTCTTAATGCCAACCCTGGATGAATTCTTTGATCATCAAACTCCTTAGGGCACAGGTCCTGAAGAATGTTCTTATTGACAGGGTGAGAAGAATGTGGAAACCAAGAGACCCAATGAAAGTGACTCCCCTCAGCAATGACTATTACATTGTCTCATTTACTAGCAGAGAGGATCAAGATCATGCTTTCCAGGAGGGGCCTTGGATGATAGATGACCATTACCTTTTGGTTCAGCAGTGGCGCCCCAATTTTAACCCCAGGACAACGTAAGATAGTTGCTTGGATTTGTATACTAGATTTGCCAATGGAATTTAATAATATGGAATCACTGGGCATTATAGGGAATATGATTGGGAAAACCATCAAGGTGGATCACTCAACGTCAGTATATGATAAGGGAGAGTTTGCTCGTATTTGTGTTGAAATTGATCTACAACAACCTTTGCTCTCTGCGTTTATGGCGTTTGGTGAGGATTGGCAACTATTGTATGAGGGACTTCATCTAGTTTGTTTTAATTACAGGACATATGGGCATGAAAAGCATGAATGCCCCCCATTGTGAGGGGACAGAACGTAGAGGGCCTAATGAATACTATGATTGAAGATATGGAGGGGACCAACTAGGTGAGACTGTCGGCGGCTACAGCTACGATGGAGGGGCAGATGGTGACGGTGGTGCCGGACGTACATTTGGGTCCTCAAATGTTGATTAGCTGAAAATTTTGCAGATCTTCAACTCGCATAATTCCCAAGAAATTGGATGGAGGAATTAATGGAACAGATTTGAAGGGATTGAAGAACGGTATTAATGATGCGGATAAAAAAGGAGCTGGATATAGCAAGATTCAGAAGAATCACTCTTGGATCAACAAAAAGGAGGAATGAAAGATGGTGTATCGGCCAGTTAGGATACAAAAAAATAAGAATGAGAAATTGTCGGGCTCTGATGGAGTCAGGGATTTTGGGAAAGAAACCAATAGCAATTCTAACACGTGGACCACAGTACTAGGGTCTAAAAGGAAGATTGTTGAGAAAACTAAGTTACGGGGAAAGGAAAATGTTTCGGACAAATCAAAAGCCCAATTCAAGGGGAACATTCATCTCAATGATTGTCCAATTGAAATACATAACCCTTTTATGTCGTTGCAGGGTGGGCCATCGGACCTAGAGGCCCAAAACCCCTCAACTTGCATGTTTCGGGACACTAATGGGCTGACTATTTGCCAGCCTGATCCACAAGACCTAACATATGAGCAGGCTGCTTCATCTAACAAGGATGTGATTACGGTAGTTGCGCATGACACAGTGGCTTGAGAGAGTGATAGGACCATAATGATGGATATTATCTAGGGGAGGGATATTAAAACTTCTCAGACTCAAACAATGGTTTCCTTATGAATTACATGTTTTGGAATTCTAGAGTTACAGGTGCGAAGTCATTTACAAGCCTGATACAAGAACTAAAAAAGCACTTTTCCTTTGACTTTCTAGCTTTGGTCGAGACAAGAGCAGACAAAGAGAAAATAGAAAGAAGAATAGGGAGACTTGGGTTTCAAGACGACATTTTCATAGAAGCTGAGGGATTCAGTAGACGTATTTGGTGTTTATGGAATGTTGGAGTTTGAAAGGTAGAGGTGTTAGAGAGTCATAGATAGTACCTGCACCTATTTATTAAAAATTCTAGACGAGATCGCTGGTATATGATTGTGATTTATGCTAGCCCCTACTTAATGGCACGACGTATTTTGTGGGTCGAGTTATAACGCTTAGAATGTAACATTCAGGGACAATGGTTATTAGGGGGAGACTTCAATGCTACTCTTTTTCAAACTGAACGATGAATTGATGCTCCTGACAGCCTTTTCATAGACAGGGACTTTTGTAGTTGGTATGAGGAGACGGAAGTGTCTGACCTTAGTTATGCTATGTTGAAGAATAATTCAAAACTGATGCTCGTATTTTTCTCCACATTTCTATTTGTTTAATTTATTTTTTTGTTTTATCCTCAAGGCTGTTAGTAATGTATTTAGTGGTCCTTTATTTTCTCCAGAGTCCTTTATTTTCTCAAGTAAGGTGATAGTGTACAACTTAGTGGGTTAGAGGACCGAGATACGTGGGATATTCAATTTGTTCTTAGCCTATATATAGGGACCTGTGATGCTGTCATTTAACACCAAGTCAGAAGCAATACAAAAAGCATTTGTTTATTATTTCTTTGCTTTTCTATTTGTCTATTTCGTCCTCTTCTTTGCCAACAAAACTGGCATCAGAGCCAGGTTGGTTCTGTGGGCAATAGAGTGAGGTTTGGGTCCATTGGATATTAGTGCGAGACACTTTTTGGGTTTAGGCAGAACACTTTCTCTGCTTTTTTGAGTGTCTGTGAGCAAGGGAAACACGAGAGGAGAGAGAAAGGACGAAAAGCAAAATGGCTTTCACTGTGAATGCTGGTTCTTCTTCTTCACAACCGCTCATACCCATTTTCACAGGTGAAAAGTATGAGTTTTGGAGTATCAAGATGAAGACGCTGTTTATGTCTCAAGACCTTTGGGACTTGGTGGAATTTGGCTTTGTGGATCACATCGATGTAGATGAAGAGGCTGAGGAAAGATTAAAAGAAACCAAAAAGAGGGATGCCAAAGCTTTGTTCTTCATTCAACAAGCTGTCCATGAGACGATTTTCTCAAGAATTGCAGCAGCAACAACGTCACTGGAGGCTTGGCAGATTTTGAAAAAGGAGTTTCAAGGTTCTTCAAAAGTGATTATGGTAAAATTGCAAACTTACCGTCGTGATTTTGAAACTCTGTGTATGAAAAGCAGTGAACCTGTTCAGACTTATTTATCTAGAGTATCTTCTCTTGTTAATCAAATGAAGTCTTATGGGGAAAATATCTCTGAAGAAATTGTTGTTGCAAAAGTTTTAAGGAGTCTTACTCCAAAGTTTGAACATATTGTTGCTGCGATTGAGGAAGCTCATGACTTGTCTGATTACTCATTTGATGAACTGATG